CATCAGGATCGACGACTAAGCCGGCATCCTTCTTCCTCTGGGCGTCACGGCATTGACGGAGATGCTTTTCTTGGGAGATTAGAGAAGTCGCGAGTATGTTGTTGTTGAGTTGTACGTTTACGACGTAGTTGTAACACCTAAGTACTACAATAATATGTTGAATGTTGTGCTAGTAAATAGCGGTGAAAATAAAGTTCATTTCGATTGCTGTAAATATTCCTCATGTACTTGGCTGTAAGTATTCGTATTTTTGTTTTCATAACTTCAAGAGCATGGCCTCGACATTCTTGACGGTATAGGTATCGCCGACGGGACCACACGGCGCAAGTTCGGCAGCCCAAGGGGGACTGAAGTTCGTTGGGAGAGTAAAACTTCGACTACAATTTCTGTTTCCGTCAACAGCAACAACAACAACTATCAACAGTCTATATTCAATGTTACTCGAATACCTTCATGTGCATGTGGAAAGGTATCTTCGTCTGTACTAGAGATGAAGCTGTAAAGTAGCAATATCACATCGCACGACGCAAAAGAACAAAAGATAATTACTTATCAATCTTCTCGAATGGCAGCGCGCTTTCAACCTGTGTGTCTGGGTCAATGGTCTTCACGTTTTTGAAGTACTTAGGTGCCAGCCATCCATCATGACCAGGCGTCAATATCACCCCATTCTTACTCAAGAAAAACGTCATCCCATCACGCAGGGCCAGTGCCACGTCGACATAGATAAAAACCTCTGCTGAGGAACGCATACCTGTGTCATGGGAAATGAGAGTTTGATGTAGAGGTCGACGTGGGATAGAGCTGCATTTCCGTGGAGGCAGTTCTCGGTCAGTTTTTGCAGTTCGACAACCATCTTTCAAAAAGCAACGAAGCAAACAACGAAGCAAACACTGACACTGAGCCATCTTTTTTAGATTGACGTTGTCGTTGAACGACGCAAACGTACAACAGCAATTACCTTGAATTTTGTGGTCGCTTTCCGGCATTCCTTGGGCCAAATGTATGTGGTTTCTTGCTGCTTTTGACAACCCCTGTTCTCGAATAAAAGGCCAATGCACCATGTAGGTGCCGTGGATCGCATGGCAACAATTAGAAGGAGGACCGGTATGGGTATGGTGCATTATAACACGAGTAGGAAGACATCTGCTTCATCTCTAAGTCTTCATACGAGCCCCGCCTCCAGGTAGTTTCTACTATACACCAACACCTACGTATTTTCTTGTTACAACATGTTCTGAGCGTGAGCGCCACTATGATCTGAGTTTTATTAATAGACGAGAGCGAGTTTTGGTTTTCATCCCCCAGTCATAACTTTCAGCCGATCCGCAGATTCTATTTTCTCCAGCAACTCTTCGTCTTGAATGTTCTTCATTGTGTGGCCTTGGTTTGCTCGCACCAAATAGTCTCCTGTTGGCGCCTCTTGGATCATGCTAAAACGTGCTTTGCTGTCGAAAAAGCAAACAGCCATCACGTCTTCGGTGGTGTGCTTTCCCTTGAAATCTTTCTGCTTCATCACAGAGGAGAGCTTTACGTACCCGTCTCTCCTCACTTCCATATTGTTCATCTCCGCACTGTGTCGCAGGATGTAGCTCAGGGACTTTGAGATCTGAAGGAAAGACTTTGAGATCTGAAGGAAAGACTTTGAGATCTGAAGGAAAGACTTTGAGATCTGCAGGAAAGACTTTGATTGACGTGAGGAGGAAGTAGAATGTGGGCAAAGAAGTAGAACAATATTAAGAGCAATAAAACTTTGCAAACACATCCCTTCGGAAACCTCAACCTCCAACACCCAAACCCAAAACCTCCAACACCCGAACCCAAAACCTCCGACACAAAAACAATCAAACCCCAAACCCCAAACCCCAAACCCATGAACCCATGAACCCATGAACCCATGAACCCATGAACCCATGAACCCATGAACCCATGAACCCATGAACCC